CAAATCGGTAGTTAGTATTTTCAAGCCAGTACAGTCCAAACCAAGCACAGTTTAAACCAGCAAAGTTAGAAAGTCTTAAATGAAGGTTCTGTATTTACAAATGAGCATCAAAGCGTTGATTTAAAAGCGATTTTATCTAAGAGGACTAGTACAGTAGAGTATTGGCATAATGTAATCAAAGCAATGAAGAAACGGAGAGGTCACAGGTCTACAAGAATTATTATAAATAAAAGTGATAAAATTGAATAAAATCAGGTAGGTACAAGTATTAGTTCAGCGTTTTCTATTTTTTTTTTTTTTTTTTGCTATACATTAATTTTTAAAAAGCTCGTTGTCTCAAAATTCAATTACAAAGAGATAATTCACTTTTACAATGAATGACACAAGAATTACTATTACAGTGAGAGATTTTTAGAGAACAAATCAATTGTTACATTTATTCAAACCTACTGTTTCGGATAATTGATTATCACTTTCATAATCCATTTTCATTATCCAAAGTAACTTTTGTTCAATACTTTCATTTTTTGAAGCACAAACGGTAGCATATTCAGATATTCTGTATTTCTGTAAAACGTTTTTATGTTGTCTGGAAAATTATTTAAATACTGTCCAATCCAGTCAGCTTACCCTGAGACGTTTACGACCTTTTGCTTTTTTAGCATCGATATGGAGTCATAGAGATATATATTCAACGCTGTGGCGTGGTTACCGTGAATGCAGTGGAAAAAGCTGCCCAAGACGAATTCTAATTTAGGGAATTATACGTACGGTTTACCTGTACTACATTTTTAATTTATAAGTCAAATGTAACCTAAAATGTTTATAACAGCACAGGTATATGCTATTAACAATCGTCATTTAACTATAATAATAAATGTTTAAAAATTAATATGATCAAATCAGATGGATGATTACTATTTACTCCTTAATAATATGTCATGCTGGCAGCACAACTAGCACCATTAATAATCGTATATTGTACACACATATTGTTAGTGTTGGCATTACTGGGAGGCGGTCTTTTTAGGGGCGGCGTTTTGTCGATTTTTTGTCCGGCGACGTTTTGTCGACTTTTTGTCCGGCGACGTTATGTCGGGCGACGTATTGCGGTGTAACCACTATTATTGATTCCATACTATCTAAAATTTTATCGCCTAACGCGCGGACAGGTAAATGATATTACTTTAATTGTATCTGGGGTCGCATTTATATTATTTCTGTAGGAGTATATACACAGACATACAGAAGCACGAAGATAATGATTATTACTAGACATTAAAAATTACGAGTTTACTTACTTACTTTTGACAAATATAATAACAGCAGACTAGCAGTTATCGATGAAAATTTGATTATAACTATAGTAATAAATTAATACAATTTTAATATATAAAGATATTTTTTTGGTTTGTCAACGTTTTTCCGTTTACGTTGTATAGTACTTTATCCGAAGAATATTCCATAGAAATTTGGAACAAAATCGACTATTTTAAAAAAAGTAATATGTACATTTTTATGTGTTTTCCCAAAACTTAAATCGGCGTATTCGGCAATTTGCGGGTGCCGTGCGACGACGACGATAGCGGTCGATAAGAAGTGTCACGCACTCGCAGGCACAAGTCAATAAACTGTTTGAAGCCACAAAATTTGAAATTGAAATTTCACTTTAATTCATCATTCTACTTCAAACGTACTGTCCTTAAAAATACTTCGATTTAAATTTTTAAAAAACATTTGAATTCTTCACAACATTTTCAAGGCATCGGTCGTGGCACAATTTTAAAATTAATTTCAGTTAATTAATTATTTCAATGTAAAAAAATGCAATTTTTTTACTTTTTTAAACTGAAATAATTAATTAACTAAAAATAATTTTAAAATTGTGCCAAGACCGATGCCTTGAAAATGTTTTGAAGAATACAAATATTTTTTCAAAACTTAAATCGGCGTATTCTTAGGAACAGTACGTTTGAATTAAAATGAGTTGTTTTCGACTAAAAAAACGCAGGTGTAGAGGCCCCTTAAGGGGGAACATCCCAATGAGTTATCGACAAATTCCGTAGGAGCGCACCACTATTATCGGTTGCAATAAAATAATATAAATTGTACACGTACTGTCGTCGCACGTCGGCAACCGGCAACGTGCGACGGTCTGGTGCGATAAACAACAATGTTCTCAGTTTACAATACTATTGTCATATGCCTACCTACCTATCCGACCGATTATGAACCCATCGGCCGAATTTACGGTTAGGTACATATATACACCGTTCAAAATAAAAAGCGATCTCGGTGGCTATCTGAATGCCACCGTGGAAAAACCGGTTTTCAGGTAGCCGCTGAAGTCGCTTGTTATTTTGAACAAGAATATAATATTTAATATTATTATTATTATTTATCATTTATATTATGAATGATATTAGAATTATTTGTTACTTCGTGACTAGGTCGTACTGTGTAGATTGCTATACTTAAATTTAGATACATTTTGCGTTTTTACCAAAACGAATGTTTAGGCATGTTATATGTCATTACCATTTGCGTCCCTGAAGTGAAACGTGAAAGCGGTAAAAGCGCAAAGTGTGGTTTTTTCTAAAAAATAACGGCAAACAAAAACATGGCCGACCATTTAAAAGCAAAAAAAAAAAGCTCGAGACCCCAACTCATTGAAAGTTTAACTTATAATAGAATGCAAAAAAAATATTCTCTAGTCGTTCCAGAGACTTCTTCAAGTTCTCTAGAGATTCCTCTTTCTGTGGAAAATACAAATATGTAAGTATATCATTGCAGTAATAATAAGTATTTGTTTATTTGACCAATGATATATTATAATAAAATGCAAGCCAATAGAGGTATAATTTCCATTAGCATACATACTCTGTAATACAAAATATAATGAATTATCTATTAACCCATTTTCCAAAATTTAACCCCTAAGAGTGTAAAAAGAAAACGCGTATATTCAAAACAATAAAAACTCTCCGTTAGCTTGGATCAAATTAAAAAAAAAGAGCATATTGCGAAGCCGGGCAACACAGCTAGTATACTATATTATAGTACATACTACAGGTACACACACACATATATATATATATATTTATAATAAAAAAAGTAAAATATGAAATTATCTCCTACTATTAGGTATAATTAGTAAATATTTTGTTCATGAGTCATAAGTCTTATTGCTTCCATTAGCAATCAAATATTCAAATGGAAAATGTTATCATCTTATCAATTTTTCGTCCCAACGCGTCCGACCATCAGTGATGCCGACTTCTTGTCGGTATAGAGGTCTTATTCCCGTATAACCTTTTGGTTTTTTTCCGTTAATTAATTTCACCATTTCTTATGTCGAGTCATTGGTTTAAGCTATTAACGAATTATCGTTGTTTTACACTTTAAATTTGGCCAATGTCCATCACTCATCTGTATTTAGCGTCGGCGTCTACACAATGGTAATATAGATAAAAGATATTTTGTGTGCCGGACATGCCCGCACTGTAATAACACAACAAGCGACGCCTCAGTAAAATCATAATTTCACAATGTTGTTATTTACCAAACGACTCGACTGCTTAGTAGACGAGCCTTGAGTATTTAGGATAATAATTTAACTGCTAAATCCTTAGAAATTGGATCGAGTTTAATTTTGAATTTATTTTTAAGAGTTTGATATTAATTTTAACTTATAGTGCTCATCCGCCGTGTACGATAATGTCTGTGGATCCCTTCCGTTTCGATAAAAGTAAGTTACGATTACAGTCTCTTCTTTTTTTTTTTTTTTACTTTTATGTATTATTATTTTTTACCCGAGTAAACTAATAAGGTGATTCAAAATTGACGGTGATGAAATTTAAATACGAATGAGGACATTTTAGAGGTATTGAAAGTAGGTAGCTAAATTAAATATTTTACATTGGATCTGCTGGACAAAATTAAGTAGAGTATATTTATCTAAGAGGTAGCATTAAGTTTGTATCTGTAGTAGCAATAATTAATGAGATTAGGGAATAGTTAATACAGGCAGGGGATACAACAGAGAACGAGGTCAAGAAAACAGCAGTAGCGTTTGATCTTATGAAAAGTGAACAAAGAGTAGCCATTATTTATAAAAAGTAGGTGAGTTTTGTTGAAAGTGAGTCAAGATGATATGAATTAGGTAATAACAAATATTGTTAAAATTTTGAGTAATATGCACTGATTGGATAGAAATCTAACAAAAAGAAAAGATTTTTGTGAGTAAATAAAAAAACAGAATGCTGCAACAACCATTTTTATACAAATATATGCAATATTTCTTTTCATTATAAATAAATAAAAATTTTAAAATCATAATTACGCCAAATTGATTTGAATCGTTTGTTATTTGACAGATGACATAGTGCTGTGTTATAGCAGATCTATGCTATATGAAGCAAAGTGCTTAAAACGACGAATTGGACCTGACGGTGAATTGAACTACTACATTCATTACATAGGGTGGAAAACGAAATGGGATGAATGGGTACACGATGATCGTGTTTTGTCTGTAAATGAGTTTTCGCTTGACCACATGAAAGCACTCCAAGACCAACAGTAAATATGTGTTTTAATATTAATATTGTATCGAATGCAATTATTATGTCGTCAATTTTACCAATAATATTAATTTTTTTTGAGAGAGAGAGTGATTTTTAAATTTTCACATTATTTAAAACATGAATCGATCAGTCTAATTAAATAAATACTTTTGTAATATTTTCAGCAAGTTTAAAAAACATTTTAACAAAGGAAGAGTTGGCAGACGTAAAAAAAATACTGAAGTAAACCAAACCACTGATGCTCCATCTTCAGCTACTGAAGAGTCTGGTAATTAATTGAAATTAAAAGTTTAAATTTTTTGACCTGAAACATTCCGGAAAAAAATCCAAATTTTACTAATTTACTTATTTATTTAAATAGAACCATCTTCTAATCCGGTTTTGGTTGCATTCAGAACTGTTGGTCTAATAGAAAATAACATTAATAACTTACCTGCCATACAAGAGTTTTTGGTAATATACCTTTTTATAATTAAATTATTATCTTAATAAATATTTTGTTTAACAGAAAATTGTTATTATAATCTTTAGAACATTGTTATGGCTGATAATTGATGTATGTGTTGAACGGATGTACATATACAGCCAAACAGTTATTTATTTTGATTTTGACTTTGTCTGCAACAAAACTACTAATTTTTCTAGCCTCCATACGATAAACAACTAAAATTTGATGTGCCTACAATTCTGAAACGGCGATTGTCCTACGACTATAATATGATAAACGTTTTTAACAAGGTATTTAACAAGGTGTTTTAAACATTTTAATAATATTTGGTCACTTTGTTAATAAATTGTTTGCCTAATAATGGTGTGTAAAATATTTTAGCAATTAAAGTTTCCATCCAAATTCACTGTTATGCATCTCATTGATGGTTATATCGGTTCCAAACAAAAATCAACAATATTTGTTAGGTAATTATTGTTTTTCTTACAAAGTTAATAGTATAATAGTGTCGAAAATATAATAAGATATTTTTAGGGAAAGAGCTTTGTGTGTTGGATCGACTTTTATTCAATATTTTAATTCACGAATACAGACGCTGCTATATGCGAAAGAACGTAATAATGAAGTGCACAATAAAGTAAATTATTTTTCGTTGATGAGATTTTATGTAATGAGAATTTTTATTTAATAACTTTACCAATATTTTTCTTTTAGGCTGTTGCTCTGTTATCAGAAAAAATAAGACTTGACAGTTTACAATTCAAATATAAAAACATTTATTCGGAAGACTTGTGGTGTACAGTTTATGGACCCATTTATTTACTAAGGCTATGTGGTACGTATGAAATATTGACTTTGATGTTAGCGAAATGATGTTTTATTAATTCCTTATAAACGCGTTCAGGAGCTCATTTAGTGAAAAAGAACACCTTCCTTACACTCAACCGTTTTTGAAGTGTTTTTCCAAACGTTGATAATAACATTTTATATGGTCTTACACGAAGTGCTATCCTAATAAACATAATTTTTTAGTGTTTTTGTAGTGTCCTAATTATATTTTTTATACATATACTTATGTGTATTTTAGTATTCGATACTTGATGACATATTAATGGATTTTAATCAATTTTTCAGTTAATTTGAAAAAATTTCTAAGACCAAAGTTTGTGACCGAAGACAACCAGCTCTCTTCCATTGCTGATAGCATAAATGATTTTTTCAAGTAAGAATTAAATTTTTTTTTTTAATTTAACGATCCATTTAGTTAAACTATTATATTTATTATGGTTTATATAAAATAATAATCAAATGAACTTGCTGGTTCATCTATGGTTATCATTTTTAATAATAAAAAAAAAAACGGAACACTATTTTGTCCAAACTTCTAAAGAAAGAGCTTCAATAAAAAATTGAAAATTACTTTTTGCACCTTTTGATAATAACAATTTTTATTATTATAAATAATATTTTGATAATAAGTATTATTATTTTAAATTACTTTAATTTATTAATAAAAAAATCGTTTTAATTTCTTGTTTTGTATTAATAGTTCACTGACTAACTTTCAAGTTTCATTTTTTTTTATACAGTTCAATAAGTACATCTTTATTTTTTTTTTTGTAAAAATGAGTGGCAAGAATTAGAAATTTTCTTTTTTTTCTTATAGAAAATGTCATATTTTTTTCTACCCAAAATTCTATTTTAGTTATTTTAAAATCTTTTTTTGAATAGTTATTTAAAAATAGTTAGCGTTTAATTCCACTACTTTCTCCACACTTTCGAAATCTAAATCAAAATTAATAATTATTGCTCTATTTTTATTAATATTTTGATAAGATAGCTGATAAAGAGAGAACCTAACCATATTCTAAGAACCGGACAAAAAGCGTCCAGTCGAAAGACAGTTAGTGGGACAAGGGAATATTTAGCTCCAAAAAGGGACAATCCCATTTTTAACGAGACGTATGGTCACCCTAGGCTAAGTGAGAAGGTTAAGTGAGTGATAACTCGTGTTTTATCGTAGAGGGCCATGCGATTCAGTAGGAATTAGACAGAATATGTTGAGATAATTAGAGATATGATTTATTAGCAAAGATAACTTCTGCAATAGATTCATCGCTTTATGCAAGGTGTAAACAACAGAATGCGTTGAGGATGTATAGTACAGAGTTAGATAAATAAGATAAATGGTGGTAGGGTTGAAGCAACAATGTGAAGTAGCTTACATTTTTAAAAACTGATCCGTAAAAAAGCCACATTTGTTTCAATCTCAACTTTAGTCAACAATCGACGAGCAATTCAAATTGAGCAGTCGTGTACGTAGGTATCGACTATAGTTTGATGGTAAATTGTTTAGTTATTTTTTCAAAAAATAAAAAAAAACATTTGGGTCTAAAATATAATTTTATTCTTATGTTATGAAACATCAACACTGTTTTCTGACAACCTTTCTATAAAATGTCTTTGTTAAAATATTTGTTTTCAGGTACCTAGAACAGCAACATTCCAAATATTTTGCCAACGATGACTACGAACCTGCAACTGATACGAGCGAGACAGAAGTATCGTTAACATAATCTATTTTTCACATCACTAAAAATTCATCCTCTCAATTCTTAGTTTTCTTCCTATTTTGATATAAACTAAATTATTTGAGCAGTGAAGTATAATTTTATGTATTTTATAATGTGTTCAGAATTTATATTTGAATTTTTTTCTACGTCATCCATCGCACATTCAACTTTTTTCCTCTTTTTATCTTTTGACTTATCAATTTTTTTTTTTTTTTATGACGTAACTGACGTTTGGTCGATAATGTACATCAATTTTTAGTCATAATATTATTTGTATTTTTACTAGTTGTCCAAATGTATATTTTTTCAGTCAATTATCTATTTTGTATATTGTCATTATATTTTTTGTTCAATTTTATTCGTAAGCCAACTAATAATTATATTTTTACATCAATTATTGTCACTTGCTATTATTGAATGTGCCAATATTTTTCCTTTTTTAGTATAAGATAGTACCTACAGTTTGGTTAGATGTTCCTGAGTGGTACCAAAAATAAATAAATTGTATCCATACTCTTTTTAATCCCACCTTAATTTCTACTCTACGCTTGTACGAACGGTCCATCTGTTCAGGTCAAATTTATTAAAACGAGTTATTATTATTCTTTTAAGTAACTTTTATATCAATTGTATACAATACACCTTGTGTTATTTTTAAGTGATACTAGCAATTTTTTGTGTTGCATGATTTAATTGTATTTTTAAGCTTGTGTCAATACGAATGCCAAATAAAATATTTATTTACTTTTGTCTTAAAATTGTTTAAAACACTTTTTTTTAACTTGAGCAATTATTATAAACTATAATGATTTCCGATTTTATAAAGACGAATGTAGTAAAAAACATAATAGTTAAGGTTCGAATGATTTTTCATAAATATTAATTTATAGAAATAACGTTTGATAAAATGAAATAAAATAACCAGTATACAGGTATTTTTATGAGTTATATGTGCAAGCATTTAGTGAAAAGATGGCAATATGTACTTTGAGTGATTACATGATTATATTAATTAAAGTATTGAACAAATTAAAAACAAAGTTAGATGTTTAGAGTTTGAATATTTGTTCCACACATAAATTGTCATTTATTGGTAAATAATCAAATATTTTTTAGACCTGGTTACTGAATGGCTTTAGGTGTTATTCTTTTTTTAAAATTAATGTGCTTTTATTTAAACAATATTACTGCACGACAATTACAGGTGTTAGGTCCTTATCGAGGCAAAAAATGTGTTTCCCTAATCCAAAGAAGTTCGATTTATGGACATAAAATTTTGATTCATTTAGAAAATCCACTCGCACACACATTAGATGATTTGGCATGGAGTGACTATAAAAAGTAGTTTTTCCAAATAGGCAATAGTTATTTAACTTTCAAATACAAAAACTTTATCTTCAAACAAAATCTGTAGTGTTACCCTATCAAATTGTTTATAGGGGGTTATCTTATGTATTTTATAGAGCAAGAATTAAAATGGGTACATTCATTTATTATTATTTTTTTTTTGCTAAATCTGATTCGGGCCTTAGATTTTTTCAAGCACGTTTAGTTATTTTTCAAATAACCTCTAAAAATGTGAAATAAACCGCTTTGTGTATTATTTTTAGCATGTTCGATACGGTTGCATAATTATCTAAAATATACTTCAAATAGAGTATTTGTGTTTAGAACTAATCTAAAACTTACTTAACAGTTTTTACAATTTTTTTTTTTTAAACCAAAATAAAAATTTTAATTTTGTTTTTCACAAATAATTTTTTACAATACACAAATACACTTTTATTTTGTGTATTGTAGTTCAAAAATGTACATGCTAATGAAAATAGTAGGCCAATTTCGGATTCATTATATAGGTATATCCTATTAAAGTAGTACTTTTTTCACTCTCAATTAAGACCGCTTTGGCTGGCATAACTTGAGCATTACAATCAATTTAGATCTTAAGAGAGACACTATTGTGACGGTCGTTCCTTTTGATGGTTCAATTTACATAGTTCAATGGGCTAGGCATATATAGGTGTACCACAATGATCCGACAGCTTTGCATATAAATTGTATGAAAAATCTGTTAGATGACTGATACACCCTGTATACTATAAAGAGCCTGTCAATTAGTGTATTATTTAGATTGGGTCCTGTCCCTACATCCTGTCCTTGTACCTACGGTTTAACAAATGAGCCGTTTTATAATTCTACAATAGAACTTTGATGTATTATAAGTTAAAACGAGTCTTGTCTGACCGTTTCAAAAATATTTATTTTTTAAGATTATTTTTCTAATAAGAATTCTTGCCCTATTTTAATTTTTAGACCACGATAATTAGAGTTACAATATTATATTATTAGCAATTCCGTTTATTAAACATACATTTATTATTTAATTGCTAAAAATGAATTTACTGTGTTAGTTCACTATACAAACTTACAGACCTCGCCATGTAAATGGATTCTGAAGTTACTATTATATTAACTACCCTTGTGCAGACTTGGTTATTATTTTAATACTATATATTGAAATATCAATTTAAATGATAATTTCAAAAAAATCTGTGTCTAAATGAATAATAAATAGCTTATAAAAGTTGTAATAATAATTAAATTTAGAAATGTATTTAATTAAAAATTCAATAAATTTAATATTTGCCAACCTGAAAAAATATAAACTAAACCACCTAAAATATTTGAGTCTTTATTTTAGAAATGCTGAACCGGCTATTCGATTAGGTCGTCATTCAAGTAAGCGAAATGGGTAATATATTGGAAAAATGTTTTTATATAAAAGAATATAATATATTTTATTATTTTGATGCGCTGAAAAAAAAAATAATCATTTTCCACGTGGATGCCATGTTGTAACATACCTGGATATTATAGGTTTTAATTTTTTTTTAAGTTTCTTTGGAATTTGAAATGCCAACTGGCGTGTGAAAGGGTCAAATTTCTTATAGACTAGGTATCTATACAATTGAGTACAGAGTGTTCGGTTGTACCTACCTACACACACGGTCATTGCCGTCCAACGACTACCTACCTGAATAAAATACCATGTAGGCTATAGTTTATAGGTACCTACACCGGATAAATTTCAATATTATAGGTAATATATGAGTATGATATTTTATTATGTCTAGATGCCTACCTAATTATTGTGAATAAAATATTCCATATGGGTCAAAACTCCAAATATGAACAAACGTTTGAACAGACCACCAGTCAATTTTTTTTTTCGATTATTTTGGTCATGGGCGTAAAAAGTATTTTGAGTTTTTGCCTTGATACTTCTTCATTATCATTATTTTATCGTATCTTCGGCCTTAAAAAAAAAAAATATATATATATGTATATATTTATTAAAAATAAGTTTTTTATGTAAAATAATCTCAGCTTTCTAAAAAAAAAGGGAAAATTACCTAATTTTTACACATAATTATTTTAACTATTTTTAATACTGTGGTCGTTTTTATATGAATTTTGACCTCTTGTTTTTATGGAGATCCCAATTTGAAATTTACACATATTATGTAAAATTTCCTCGGCTTTCTGAAAAAAACTATTAGAAAAAATCTCAAATTTTTGGTAACATGAAAAAAACAAATTTTTACATTATAAATTCAATTTTGATGACTTTAACATAATACTTATGTATAATAATATTATGTTTTTGGTTAAAGTACAAAACCGACAAAGTTGTCTACATAATATTTTTTCCACGATTAAAAACATTCATTAAACGCTTATAAAATTGTTCAATAACACTATACAACGTTGTTATATTTTTTTAAATTTTTATTTTTGGGACCTACAAGCTACAGCTACATATTCTGTTTAACTTATTGCTGTTATTGTAATTTTAAAATTGGCAATTGACCATGTTGTTTTTTTGTCAATTTTTAATATTCTTCACGGTTTAACAGCGTTCTATTTATCCTACTCTATATAGCTGCTAAGTAAAGTTTCTTTCAATAAATCTAGAATTCAGTCAACATTACACCACTCTAAACAGAAGACTGTTGATAATTGTTTTGCTTTTATAAACAGGATTTTCATAAAAGCATAGTGCTATTCTGGACAGCCTTCTAATTTTTATCGTTTTTAAAACTGTCCAGTGTACTTATATTATTAAAATTTGCGTGTAGTTTTGTTATATTTAATGTTTTTATATTTTTTTAAATGTTATTTGTATGTTCCCAATTGATATAAAAACAAACTACTAGTTCTACACTAACTCTAGATTATTAGATTAATATAAAATGTATGTACTTGAAAGTTAGACAATCATAGTAGCTATAATACATATTATTGCTGTGTCAATAAGAATATAAGGTTGTCGGCCTGGGAAAAATAGGATTTTTTGCTCTAGAATAATGGTTAAAACCCTCTACCCAAAAACTACTAACGTTAACATATTATTTTATTCCAACTGTTCGCTTTGTCGACAAACGGGGTCCTTCTTTCAACAAAAAAAAATAGTATGTTTAAACAGGGGTCGGACCCTCGTTCGACCCTTCTTTTCCCCAATGCATTATTACCGACCGGCTGTGAACCTTACTGGAGCACAATGACCCTTCAAAACACAAAATATACAGGGTGTGCCACAAAGATCTGACAAACGAATAATTTTTGTTCTGGTGAATATTTTTAAGATTTTTATTTCAACATTTATTTATGCACATTTGCGCTTTAAGTGCCGCGTTATTTATGGCAGTTTTGGATAATTATTTTTTAAGTTATTTAAGACGGGTAGGGTTAGTTAGCGTAGGTAACGAAAAAAATAAAAATAAAATTTATAAAAGTAAAACAGTTGAGAGAAATACGAACCGTGGTTTTTATAATGCAAATAAATATAAATAAGTTTAAAAAAATGTTTTTTAAAAAATATTTACTAGAACAAAAGTTATTTTATTTGTCAAATCTTTGTGATACAACTTGTATACATATACTGTACATATAGTGTGATAAATTCAACGTAAGACACTCATTTTCCTAGAGAATATTTGCAATTTTGAAAACATTTTTGTTTATTTTCTATTCATATTATTATAAAATTACTAAACATTTACCATTTTTAATATTTTCCACATCTCTGTCGAAACTTAAATGTTAGCATACAAATTTCATTAGGTATTTAAATTAGAAATAATTTGCTGACCGATTTGACTGATCGGTAACCGGTTTTTGATGGTCACTTTTTGAGTTATTAAACATTATAATTTAAGACGGGATTAATCTACCGCTTTTCAAAACGCATGTATTCTACCTTATGGTTATCGTCCAGTCAAAAATTGTCGGCAAATTATTCATAATTGAGTAAATTAAACACCATTAAAAGGATCCGGTGCAAAAACCGGCTACATCCATATTTTGACAGACAAAAGAAAATTAATCGTCCCGTTTACCATCCTATTGGCGGGGAAAAACGCGTTTTGTACTATCTTTGTAGGTACATTTTTCCATGAATTTGATAAAAACCGTAGACAGCCGGTTCTCGCATCGGGCAGGGAGCACGACACGGAGCCACTCGACAAACAGCCACCGAAAATCGACACGGAGCCACTCGACAAACAGCCACCCGAAGAGATACCAA